TTAAATAGTTCTTGAATTCCACCATGTGTTTTGTACAACATAATATCCTACCTCCCAAAAAACAATATACAACATTTAAAAAAGAGCAGTAAAAGACACAACACGAATGAAAAATATTAAAAGGCACAATGAAAAATGTTGCTTTTAAAATCTCGACCGGAAGAAACGTGCCGCTCACTTTAGAGACTTGATTTTGAAAGGACACACCGGATGTTGCTCTTCGGCAGCTAACTCGGGCTAGCTTGGCGCTGGTATGTGGGTCTGCTCATTGAATGACATCATGCGGACGAGCGCCTCTCTCCATCTGCAACATGACACCTCCAGACAGTAATGGTTAGACGTTTATTTATGACCTGGAGTCAAATGACAATCGGTAAGAGCGGCATCTTACAGCCGATTCGCGTTCAGTAATGATTCAGCCGTTGTCTGTCTTTGCTAGCTAACGTTAGCCTCTCCGCAGATTTAGTCGAGTTGGCTAATGATGCTAAAGCTGGAGGAGCTGACCTGTTACACACTTATTTAAACGCAGAACTAAATGGGTACTGAAGGAAAACTGCAAAATGTCCTGTGTGTTTGGTTTATGTGTAGAGAATAAATCTTGTGTTTGCCTGCTCAGGTCACCTGCTGCCATCCAGTGTCCTCTGGCAGGCTTTTATTCATGTAACTACACTGTGGTAGCATGCAGCCACATTTAACTGATTGTAGGTGTTATATGACTCAGTTGTACCTGACAGTATAGGAGTGTTACAATGACAAATGTATACAATAAGTCTGTGAAATATGTTTTAATCATGCAAAGTTGCCTTTTTTGTTAAAACCCGCATTCAAAGCTCTGCTTATAGGAAAAAATACATTGTATGCCATTAATAGAGTGTTAATTCAGTATAATAATAGAATAACAAACAAGCCAGGTTAAATAATATAACAGGAAGTAATATCAATAAATGGCTGCTATAACTCCAAATCATTCAACTACATACAGATTCTGAGACAATGGGCCCCTGGACAAAGATATATAAGAGGCCCCCAGCCTCTTCAATTAAAAGAAATAAAGTAAAAATGCAAACCTATTGGCATGTATGTTAATTTTGTAACCTACTAGTTTAATATCAGGGTGTTTTGGTTACCATAATATTTTGTTTCAGTATCAGCCAGCCATTTAGTTTGTAAAAGGTCAGATTATACTGTGTACTGTATTTGAGCACCAGTCACTTCTATGGTCTTCTCTCTTTTCTGTTGTCCAGGTGTAGCGTGATGCAACAGAAGTTGTGTTCCAGAGGTTCTGGTTCTTTCCTCTTAGAGAGGAACGGCCAGGCTTGTGGTGCCGTCACCGACTCTGTGACGTCCTGCGACCTCCCTTTCCGCTGCCCTCGCTGCGGCGAGCAGGAGCGTTTCCGCAGCTTGGCCTCACTCCGCGCCCACTTGGAGTACCGCCACTCATACTGCTCACCCGATGTGATTACTGGCAGCTTCAGCATCACCGGTAAACTCCCAGACCCGCTGACGGCAGCGATCCCCTGGCATGACATGAGCCTCCCAACCCGCCGGGGGCAGCACAGCACGGGGCGCCCACTTCATGCACGCTCCCTCAGTGACAGCAGAGACAGTGGATACCCCCGCTCATACAGCTCCGTGAGGAGGCGCACCCAGAGTGTCGGGGTGGGGACGCAGGCTGATGAGCAGGAGGGTGAAGATGAAGAGGAAAGGGGGACAGAAGATGAAGATGTAGGAGAAGAGGATGACGACGAAGACGATGGTGAAGACAGAGGTGGAAATAGACATGAGGAGGATATCAAAATGTCAGACACATGGCACCATCACCTCAACCAGCAGCACCTTCCATTCCCTGTTCCAGCTCCTCCTGTCCCTCCGCAAGACCCAGAACTGGACTTGGACCTGGACCTTGTTGGTGCGTTCAGGTTTACTTTATCTTTTAGAGTAGGGTCATATTTATTAATGTGGGTTTTCAATAAGTGCCACACAGTTCCTTTGATACCGTGCTCGCTGTGGTGTTGATTTTAAATGAACCCATAGTTCAGGAGGTGGTTCACTGATCAGTCATCATAGTTACAGTCTTAAACAGTACAGTCCTGTTTCATCTGCAGCAGTTTGTCTCCTTTGCTGTAACCACCAGAGCAGAACCCCTACTCCGGTTTGGAGACGGCGGCGGCCTCAGCTGCAGTGCGTCGGCGATTGGCCAGCATCCGGCGGGCAGCCGACAGCACCATGCAGCGTCGACTGGCCAAGGTGAGCACAGAGCTGGCCCAGACCGACACGGAGCTCCTGTGTGAGCGCGCTCACTCGCAGCACCTGGCCCAGGAGAGGCAGGAAGTTGCAGAGCGGGAGAGGTCGTTGAGCCGACAGGTGGACGTGGCTGTCATGGTGATCGCCGCGCTAAGGGAGCAGCTGAACACCTCCGAGAATGAACTGGAACGACGAGAGAGGTAAACAGGCAACAGGTTTGACTGACGAAGGGCTTAAAGGACAGCTCCGCCGATTTCACACTTCATACTGTGGTGTTGGGCAGTACCTCTGCAGATGTGGCCCTGAGCTCAAGGCAATGCAAGAAAACAACAATATGTCAACATATGCACAGTGGAAAGACACTACACAGCCAAACACGGAAACCCCTGCAAATACATGTGAGTACATTTGTTCATGTGCTGTGCTTAAATATAACTTCTCCTTTCCAGGGAAGTGCTAACCATTCAGAAGTTTCTGGAAGCAGCGGTTCGGCAGGAGACGTGCGGTAAAGTTCGGATCCAGCACTTCATTGAGAACCTGCTGAGACGCATCGCTCTGGCCGAGAGACTGGTGGAGTATTACCAGGCTAATGGCAGTCCCCAACAGTGCCACCACTACAAGGTACAGCTACACACACAGGTGTATAGTCATGTACATATGCTGACATAACTGAACTTGTGTGAAGTGGAAACCTGTCCTTAGACCTTTTCCGTCTCCTCAGCAGCACCAGCAGCCAACTGATGTCAGACCTCACAAAATCACCAAAAGCAGGTGAGTGCCCCGATCACACCAGGAACGTTTGTCACAGAACTTTTGAACAGTAATGATTTCAATAGAATCGCCACAATCATTGGATTTATTTGGGGCGGCAGATTAAACTTGTGCACATAGAAACTTCCCTGGACTTCATGGTTTTAGTCCTGACAGTGCAGTGTAAACTGGGGGCTCTTATAGACCCAGGTGTGTGCATTTCTAAACTATGTCCAGCCATTTCAGTTTGCACCAGCTGCACAGGGGAGTTGTAGGCACATCTGGAGGGGAATGAAAGCAAACAGAATGCACCTGACCAGACACCGGAGAGCTCATAGCAAAGGGCCACAATAGTTTGGAGAGTAATAGATTGCAGTGTTTGATTCTAGATTCATTTTCAGACAAATCTATGGCCATGGTTTCACTTTGTCATCATGGGTGTTTAAGTCTGTAATGATGGGTAGAAGTGGTAACTGTATCCAGTCAGAATCAATCCACAATAAAATAGAAGGTACAAAAAGTAAAGGGGTCTGAATACTCGCTGAGTCCACTGTGCATTATGATTCGTGACAGACATGCATGCACACAGGACAGAAATGCTAGTTTCATTCTAACATTTGTGACTTTTAGAAACAATTGATATTTATGGACAAATATCTATTTCAGATTTAAAATCTATCTGGGTTCCCGCTGTGGTTTGTATTATATTTATCACCATTCTCTGCAGGATTTTCATTGGACTGCACTTCCCTTTTTGAGGTAACCAGCTAAGAGTAGCGAGGTCATCACCTTCCTGTAATGCACCAATCAGATTCAGCTGTAAACAGGTTTAATGCTCAGCGGGTGTCGTCCTCAAACCGGGCTGGTAAACTGCTGCTGCTCTGAATCAAACCAAACAGTGACAGAGCAGCTGCTAAATCATTCAAGAGGACTCCTGTGTCATCTGCCAGAGTTCTGTCATCGTCCTGTTTAATTCATCGCTAAACATGTAACACTTTATCCCTCCACTCAGCCCTGGAGTGGATTTACCTTTCAGGATCCGTGTGCATTAATCACCTGTGCTTTCTGCTTTGAATTTCATGGAGCAAAGAGGAGAATAACTTTTCTCTGATTCATTTGCGAAATAAACAGAAACCTTCTGGCCTATACTGAATATTTGATGCATATTTTCATCAGATATTCTACATGGTTTTTTGTTGTTTGATGCTTGACTGGAGCTTTTTTAGTTATGCCATTGTGTTGTGTCCTCTTTTCCTGGACATGTTTTATCTCGAGGTGCCCTACTCCTAACACACATTTGTTAGTATTTTCTTTTGGCTGATTTTCTGGCACGAACTCTGAGTGTATCACTGTCATTTGAAAGGTTGTTACTGACTATAGATGCCAGTGAGATCAGCCACAGTGGCCAGATACATCTTCAAAGGTCTCCGGCGTTGGTTTCAGGTCTGAGCTGTGGTGGTTGTTTCATTTCCAGGTCAGCGGGAGGTCAGCTGTCCTCGTCTGCTCTCCGTGATAACAGGACCCACTCCTCCTCCCAGCTTGGCGGCCGGCCCTCGTTCTCCAAATCGGGAGGGGAGCGAGCCCGAGAGCGGGAGCACCGGGAGCGGCTGGCCCAGTCGTCCCGGCTGTTCTGCCGGCCTGAACACAGAGACGACATCTGGAACCGCCAGCGCCGCCGGTCTGCTGGGTACGAGTCCTAGAACTGAAGGGAAATACAAGGGAGAAGGGGGTGTTGGCGAGTAAAACCCTATTGCACAATGACTTTATTCCGGTGTGTTAACCTGCAGAAAGGTACTGCAAGGTCACGCTCACATCAAGCTTCTTTGGAGCAGTTAGTATTAACTAATTCCTGCTTTTACAAGTGTTACATTAAACTGTTGTACAGGTATTGGATACGGTTGCTCCAGTTCCATTTATATTCAGTCATTTAAATCAAACTACAGCAGTAACATTTTTACCAAAAATGTCAAAGAGTTGCTGTTTCCAGCTTCTCAGATGTGAAGATTTGATGCTTTTCTTTGCCACACATGATGGTGAACTGAATCTCTTTGGGTCACTTTGCCTGGTCGGTATGAAAATTGTAACAAGCATTGTGCTCGAGAAAGTAATCATCAGACTAATCGATAATAAAATAGTTTAGCGTCTAAAATACAACTCAAGAGCTCTTTAACAAGAGCCTGCTGCCTGGCTTTGTGCAGTCACATCTCTAAAGAGGGAATAACTAAATAATAGAACTAAACTGTCTTTTCCATTTTGTTTCCAACTGATAATACATGACAGCTTGTGTAACAGGGTTTAAAACCATTATGCAATGAGAAGTATTGTCGCCCGACTCTGGCATCATATGGCGTTACTGTATTTTGTGATATTTCTATTCTAACTGTGTATTTCGCACTTTTCCATAGATTATTATACTGAAGTAAACAGCTATAAAGAGTTAGTGGATGTTTCTTCAGTGTGAGTGAAACAGGAATGAGGGACAGCTTCTATTTCTTTGTCTCATTTGTCGGCACAAATCAAAGTTTTATGTAGAGTATAACAGGTTTCCTCAGCCTGTAGTGGCGCCTGCGCTCTGAGTTCTTCGCTCTGTAGAGAAACGTAAGGGATAAATGTGCCTTTGTGTTCATCTACTGATCTGAGATTTTCAGTTTACAGTGTTGTAAAAGCAAGAAAAGCATCCAATCTCAAGCTGGCTACACTCCAACCAGAGAATTTGGGGCTAATTTTTGCTCTAAAATTGACTAAAGAGGTTGATTCCTGGACCAGTCGTTGCAGCTCTAGATTGGGGGGTTTGTAATCTGGCTAACCAGCTTAGTAGCTATAGTAGTGACCTGGCGTTACTTCCAAGACCAGGAGTGTGTCATATTACATTAGTTAGTGCGGTTAAAATTTAAGAACAAGCCACGTTCATCACCAGCACATTTACTGTGTGGTATTTCTTTCCCCTGTGGAAGCTGATCCCAGATGACATCGGAGTTTAGGCTAACGTTACAGCTCCGCCACGTTCTTTATTT